CCCCCTTTCCCCCCTTAGAAAGAAGAGGAAGGCTTCAGAGATGTCAGAAAGAAAAGAAAAATTCCGAGATTCAGAGAAAGAGGACGCCTTGAGAGATGTCAGAGAAAGAAGGAAATGCCTTCAGAGATACCAAAGAAAGAAGAGCAGACTTTAGGGACGTCGGGGAAAAGGGACAGGGAGATTACAGAAACATCCACGAAAAAAAAGACTTCAAAAACATTGAAGTAAAAGAAAAAAGAACAGAGGAACTGAGAAGCCTAAGAAAGGCGAGAGGGCGACAGGAAAATCAACGAAAGACAAAAGAGCAGGGACACTAAAAGCCATAATCCATCTAATACCTCGCCGATCACTGAATATCACAGACCGATTTTTAGACACACGGAGAGATCACGAGTGGTAACCCCATCGGTTCCCAGACGAGATTTCTCTCAAAACTACGCGGTCTCCATCCACTTCATCTTGGGAGAAAATACGCTTGATTACTAGCACAAACGCAAAGTCCACTCACCTTAACAAATGTTGTGGAGATAGTGACAAAACAGAAGAGAAGGGCTGCAGTAGCACCTAGCATATGGACTCCTGCGGTACCTCGCTCTGTGCCTACTCCAAGACCAGCAAACTTTCAGAATCAGGTAAGTCCAATAGATGTTTCTAACAGGCAGCCAATCACCGAAAGCCGAAAAATCGCCTCAACTACTAATAGTTTTAATCAGCACCTTCGTCTAGATTATCACTGTTCAGTAACCCACAGCCTTAAATTCAGAACTAGCCTACAAATTTTATATAAAAACTGGTCTACTTCTCGGTCCGTTCTGAATCATTTAACGAATTACAAATAGTCCAGAATGGACTAAAATGTTAAGTTGTCATTTCCAATTTGTGAGTGTGATGAGAACTGTCTTAGTCACGGTGCACAGTATCTTACGTATGAAGGCAGACACACGCAGTAGAACAAGCCATTATAGTAAGTACCCATTCGTAATTATCTACTTGTAGTTACAGATTCAAGAGCTACAGTGGTGTCTCGTCATTAGTAATTTACTACATCCTTTTGTAGTTATTTCTACTAATCTATTACTCTGAGGGAAAATATCCTAGTATCTCTTCGGCTCCACTTTTTTTCTTAATTTACAACAGAGACCTCTTGTAATCCATATTGCAGGACACAAAAAAAATTCTCATATCTAATCTTTTATTTTTTTGTGATCTTATATGCAGTTATCATGTTCACTTTCGTTCCTCCTATCTACCAGCAACTTTAATGATTTCAATCTTTCTTCATAACTTGTAAATTGGTAACTGCAGTGTCTTGAAGCTCTTTGGACCTTTTCTAACTTAACCACTTTTTTAAGGTATGGGCACCACACTACCTCTCCATATTATATGTTATAAATAGCTTCTTTTAACATAGCTCTCCATCCATATACTTTATTGAAAAGTTATTTTAAAATTCGCTAGCGTAGCATAAGGATTTATTCACACTTCTATTTACATAAACTTCCGGTCATTTTGTTTTTAATAACTCTTAGGTCCCTTTCTCTGACCCTCAATATTTTTCATGGTGCATAATTTCACTCCCATTTATATTACACGGCATTTATGTGCATTAAATTCCACCATCTTGATCACTCCATGCACTCAATTCATCCAAGTCGTCTTGAAAAAATTTATAATTTTTTTTATTATTCATTGCACCTTATAATTTTTTTGCATCATCAGCAAGTATATTGATATTTTTTTTATTCCTTCTGGTAAATCATTTATATAAATTAAAACGTGTTATTGCGGCACCCACTTGTGACTTCTGCCCGCTATGACATTTTTCTCTCTAACAGAAAGTCTCATCTATTTTAATAATTAATCTTTTATTCCTTCTAGGTTTCGAAGTTTCTAAATTAGTTTCTCATAGGGAACCCAATTAGAAGTTTTCTTAAAATCTACATAAATACGTAGTTTGCTTATTAGTTCTGTCCTTGAAAAAAATTTGTGTATGGCCTTAATAAACTCCAATACAAGAATTTCTTCAGCAGGTTTTCTCCTCCAAGTGTTTATCTACTTTTCTCTATTTTTTTTTCAATATACAATATGTCCCCTCTTTCATTTGCCTGCCAATTTTTCCTCCCTAAAGTGAAATCCTGTTTTTTTTTTTCAACATCCATTAATAATTTCTTTACTACTGCTTCAGTCATCAAAATATCCTCTAAATTATATGTTTAAGCTTTAAGTCTGCTATATATAAAATATACAATTTTCTAAATATATCTCGCACATTTCGTCTGTCTCAGTGATTTTGTCATCCCTAATGCTTTGTATTTTGTCTAACCTTTAGATTTTTTTTTACATTTGTATAAAAAGCAAATTTGGTTCCATCTTGCTCCTGTCTTCTATTCCTTTTCAAAGTTCTTTTTTTCTTTCCTCCTTATTTTTGTGTATTCATTTCTGGCTTGTTTATATATCTGATGTACTGTACTGTCTCCAAGTCCCTTCTTTATTTGATCAAGTCTTTAATGTTTCCTATTTAACGTTGTCACTGTAACAGCTTGTTCTGTTACACGTGTTTGTTTTCATATTTGTCGGCAGTACGTCCTTCAACCAGCTTCAACTAAGTTAACATATTCGCCCTTCCTCACTCATCGCTTCTCTTATTCATAGGAGGAACCAGGCAGTCGGAGCTACATTATTGCTTTCATTTCGAGGGCTACACAGAGCAGAGCGAGGTTGCTGAAAAGGCAGTTCACCCTCCGTATAGGAAGTCACAGTCTCATCATGAGTGGGAAGCCAGAGGCAAAATGTACGTGAACTGGCTCAAGGACGTCGTCTCCAACCCGCACCTTCAGGAAGGACTCATCATGAAAGGACTCGAGATTGGCGGTAAGTTGTTTGCCTAATCATTACATGAGGCGGGTGAATCAAATTGAGATCCCCCTACCCAAGCACTTGTTCGTACTTCAAAATGCGATATACAACAGCAACCCCATGTACTATGCCTGTTTACTGCTAGGTGTGGCTCCTTTTATTCTAATCCAAAAAATCGGACTACCAAACTACGGGTCACAATCTCTGTTATACCTACGACCTCAGAACACAAATCTGCGCAAACTCACTACAAAGGAAGTGGCTAATGACAGATTTGACGTAATTTTGTCAGTGATGCAAATTTACACCAGGCTAGTGGAAGGCCTCGGTAAGATGACTAATAGCTGCAGCTGCGGATCATCATATGACTAAGACCCGGCCGCATCAGGAAACACTTGCCCTCTTTCCTGGCGAACCTCTAACCTAACCTAATTATATGCAGCATTCACTTACATCACGCTAGTATCACATGACTTCCCATTTTGAACAGCGCATGCTAGGCCGCGGGCTAAGTTAGAATCCAGTTTAGGTGAAGGGCGGAGGTATAAGCGCTGGATTCCGTCTTAGTGCATTAATATACACACAGCCTCTATTGGTGTCATTGCTACCTCACTCTTCCCTAGGAACCTCACGACAATTTAATTAAACAACCAGTCATAAACGGGGAGGATGTTATCTCTAACACACGCCGCGTAACACATAATTGTGGTTATTATTATAATCATGGGGGAACGCTAAACCCGTAGGATTATACAGTGCATGTGGGGGGAGGGATGGAAGGTATTCAGGCTCAATTCAGGGAACTGGAGTACAGATCCAATTCCCTAGATCAAGAGCCCCTCACCAGCGTCGAGGAACCTCCCTTGAGGGGAATTGTGGTTACAAAACGTTAGAAAACGCACTAGTGAATACAGGAAAAATGGTTAAACACTGGATATTTTGAAAAAGCAATATCGAAGAGAATCTGGGAGCGCTTAATGTGGTAAAGCCGTCTGCTATGTCATCATCTCGACCCATCCACTGTGGCGACCCAACAAGGTCACATTCAAGTCTGAGTTTTACCATCCTTTGAATTCCAGTATTTTATGAAATATTCAAGCACAGCGTGCATATAGTAATAGGGAATAACAAAAAAAAATGTTTAGCAGTCCTTGGAAAAAAGTTTATCTAATATAAACTGATACATTCGAGTATCTTGAAAATGAATGACTTTGTATCTACGAAGCAAAAATGGTTATAATCATAACCATAATTTTTAAAGAAGTGGACTGGTAAGCCAGCGGAAGGCCTCGGTTAAATGACCAAAAGCTCCAGCTGCGAGACATCGTATTACAAAGACTTGCGTCGGGAAATACTTGTCCTGTTTCCCAACAAATCTTACCTTTATCTAGGAGAAATGGTTATGATTTTGTGATTTCATTATTTTTTTTTTCCAGTCTCCGAGGTGGTAACTCAACGAATTAAATAACTCAATTAAACTCAGATTTTAAGCAAATGTTCTTACCTGTAAAAAAAAATATCACTAGAAAAAAATAGTAAACCCAAACATGACTTGACTTAATTGAGAAGTGTATCAGCAGAGGCATACCTAAGGCTTCTCTGGAGTGGACGTTACTACTGACACAGTAGACACCATTTTTATGGCTTGTTTACTTCCTAGTCCCTACACAACGCTGCGTGAAAAGAATGAAAATACTGAGAATATTGAAAGGAACTTCCTTGTGATAACGCATTATCAGGTCAGACAATGATGAAGATAATAGCCTGCAGTCATGTCTCCAAGTAATAAAGTTGTTTTTAAATATAACAGTTCTGTAGAACAAAATTTAATAAAATTCTCAGAAGGAATCCTAGGGTTGGTGTATACTCCATCCCTTTGGGAAAAGTTGTGATAGCTTTTATTTAAGGCAAACTGGTAAGTCTCTGGAAACCATTTTAAAAAACAAATATGCAATAACTACTGGATAAGAACCCATGCTTTTTTCATTCACGTGAGGGATGCTGGCCATGTGAAGGTTGGATTAATGTCAAGGAATTACTTCCCTGTAATTCTGCAGTTCAACGAATATATTATGGAATCATCATTAAGCATGATGCACAGCATATTTCAAATGTGAGTTCTGGTATCTATAAACTTGACAATTTTATAGTCCAGAATTTGTTCATAATAATAAAAATATTTTTCCAAAAAATACAGTGGGTCTTTGTCTTGAATTTTATACATATGTTGGGCAAATGTATGTTTTGTGGAAGTTGGATTTTAGTCACCCGTATGGAGTGGACCGATGAGGGCAACTGCAATGCTCCTCCGTTATGTTTTTTGATCGATGACCTAAGTGTTTACTTAAATTACCTATACACTTTTTTTCTTATTGGTTCGATTTCAATTTTTAAAAATATTTAGAGATTTGAGTGATTTGCAATTTACCGTTATACTGAAAAGTTTTACTAATTTTATTATTGAATTTACGGACCCGTAAGCCTCGTACAGTGGAGTTTGAGGTATCACCTCACTTATCGAGGTGTTGCCTCATTTTTTAATAAGATATCATTTTTATGTAGCGATATAAATTTTTAAAAATATTTAAATGTAATTAAAAAGTGTAAGAAGGTTGAACAAAACGTGAGGTAGGGAAGTCAAGTACTGATATCTAGTCTTTATTTATTTAATGAGAGCGCTAAACCCAGAAGGGTTATACAGTTCCTAATGGAATGGGAGTTACATTCGATCTAAGGAAAAAAATAGTAATAATTCTTGTTGTTTGGATCAAGAGCCCTTCACCGGCGTCTGGGCACCTTGGAAGGGTGTCAATAATTTTTTCTGCACCTGTCTTCGTTAGTCTTCCCCATTATCGTAAACATGAGTAAGGTAACAGATCCTTGAAGAGCTCGTGTTGGTGATCAAGGATGCTGTAGACTTCATGCTGGTGAAGGGATCTTGATTCAAAAATGGAGCTATTTCCTCCCCTTCCTTGGAACAAACTTGATTAACGTCCCCTAAGATCCTCCACTAGATTAATGCTTCCCAGTTACTAAAATTAAATTGTTTATTTGTTTTTACTACCAGTTCCATATCCTGTGTTGTACATACGGGAGAAGCTGGCTGATGCACTCATTGATGGGAACGAGGATGGACATATAGAAGCAAGCTTGGGATCAGATTATATCCTCCATCAAGGTGAGATGTACACTGAGAGGCGTGTATCTTTATATACAGTGATAGTCAAATTTAATCCCTATTTTATGGATTAAAGTTTCTTTAATCCATAAATGATATGCTAATATCATTTATGGATGATATGCTAATATTATTTTCTTACGTTTAAAGTCTGTCACTGCAAGAATCAGTAAATCATAAATTCATCTGTATACAAATGTAAAGATAGACTAATCCCTTAAACAGGCATTAATGGCAACTTTCAGTGTACATTGAGATATATATAAACACCTTTCGGATTCTGTGATAAATTTTTTATTGTTTTTTTAATGGTGAGTTTATTAATTGAATACTGCTGAAAGCTGTCAGTGTCTGCTGAGAATTGTTGGAGTGTGCTAGTGTCAAAAATTATTTTGAAAATTTTAAGTCTTGAGTGTTTCAGGGAAACAGTATATTTTTGGAGTTGCTTAAATGTAGTAGAATTTGCATTGCAGGGGTGTACCAGGAGGTGGTGTCATGGTTACCTGAACTGCTGGTGACCTGCCCCAGTGATCCCTCACAGTGGGCTCGATGCTTCATAGTCGTCGGTTTCAAGACACTTGACGGAGAACTAAATGAGGTGAGTCCCTCGGCTGTGTACTCACCTTTTTATGGCTGCAGGGGTCGATTCACAGCTCCTGTGTGTGTGTGCTCACCTATTTTTGGTTGTAGGGGTGGAGTCATAGCTCCTATGTGTGTGTTGTACTCACATATTTGTGGTTGCAAGGGTCGATTCATAGCCCCTGGCCCCACCTCTTCGCTGGTCGCCACTAGGTCCACTCTCTCGCTGCTCCATTAGTTTTATCATACCTCTTCTGAAAACTGTGTATGGATACTGCCTCCACTACATCACTCTCCAGACTGTTCCACTTCGTGACAAATCTCTGACTGAAGAAGTACTTCCTAACATCCCTGTGACTCATCTGATTCTTCACCTTCCAGTTATGACCCCTTGTTGTGTCCCATCTCTGAGTCATCTTGTCCCTGTCCACCCTGTCAATTCCTCTCAGTATTTTATATGTCGTTCTCATGTCTCTCCTATCTCTCCTGTCCTCCAGTGTCGTGAGGTTGATTTACGTGCTTGACCAGGTGTGGGTTCCATACTGTCGCTGCATATTCCAGTATGGGCCTGACATACACGGTGTACAGTTTTGAATGTTTCCTTACTGAGGTGTATGGTGTGTGTGTGTGTGTGTGTGTGTACTCACCTATTTGTACTCACCTATTTGTGGTTGCAGGGGTCGAATCATAGCTCCTGGCCCCGCCTCTTCGCTGATTGCTACTAGGTCCTCTCTCTCCCTGCCCATGAGCTTTATCATACCTCGCCTTAAAACTATGTATGGTTCCCGCCTCCACTACGTCACTTTCAAGGTATTCCACGGCCTGACTACTCTATGACTGAAGAAATACTTCCTAACATCCCTTTGATTCATCTGAGTCTTCAACTTCCAATTGTGACCTCTTGTGTCTGTGTCCCTTCTCTGGAACATCCCGTCTTTGTCCACCTTGTCTATTCCGCGCAGTATTTTATATGTCGTTATCATGTCTCCCCTGACCCTCCTGTCCTCCAGTGTCGTCAGGCCGATTTCCCTCAACCTTTCTTCGTAGGACAATCCCCGTAGCTCTGGGACTAGTCTTGTTGCAAACCTTTGCACTTTCTCTAATTTCTTGACGTGCTTGACTAGGTGTGGATTCCAAACTGGTGCTGCATACTCCAGTATGGGCCTGAGGTAAATGGTATAGAGTCTTGAACGAATCCTTACTGAGGTATCGGAACGTTATCCGTAGGTTTGCCAGGCGCCCCGTATGCTGCAGCAGTTATCTGATTGATGTGCGCCTCAGGAGATATGCTCGGTGTTATACTCACCCCCAGATCTTTTTCCTTGAGTGAGGTTTGCAGTCTTTGGCCATCTAAACTATATTGTGTCTGCGGTCTTCTTTGCCCTTCCAAAATCTTCATGACTTTGCATTTGGCAGGGTTAAACTCAAGGAGCCAGTTGCTGGACCAGGCTTGTAGCCTGTCCAGGTCTCTTTGTAGTCCTGCCTGATCCTCATCCGATTTTATTCTTCTCATTAACTTCACATCATCTGCAAACAAGGACACTTATGTTTGTGTGTGTGTGTGTGTGTGAGAGAGAGAGAGAGAGAGAGAGAGAGAGAGGAGAGAGAGAGAGAGAGAGAGAGAGAGAGAGAGAGAGAGAGAGAGAGAGAGAGAGAAGATATTAACTTAAAATATGAAAAAATCTCAAATACTTGTGTAATATTTGTGTTTTATTCGTTACAGAAAATGGAGACACTGTGGAAAGAATGGACTGGCGCCCTTTATATCTACTGTAATATTGACGATGATTTAGGACTCAAGAAGCTGTCGTTCTACAGGCGTTCTTCACCCCATCAGGTTACGTTATTCTCCTATTTATTGATCGTTGAGGTGGACACTGTTACTCAGGAGAACTCTCTTCTTCTCCTTGATTTCACTTATCGCATGAGAATGAAGAACATGACAGGGTATATTTCGGTATATCAAGAGCACCATCCTGACGGGGCAGTAGATGTAGTACCCGGGGGCTCGCCGGTGCCTTCTACTGCCCAAGCTGCTGCTGCTGCTGCCACTGCTACTGCTGCTGCCTCCACCATCCCCGTAGAAACTAGCGCCTTAGACCTCACCAGAATCAATATATGAAGGTGTTTAAAACTCGTTCAGAGTTTTGTATGTAAACTATACAGTCCACAGTAAAATTTAGTAACCTTCAACTTAGGCAAGTTGCTTTAATGAATGTTTATTCAGTATATTTTTTATATTATTCACATACATCAAAATTAGTCTGTTAATATTTCTGAATCATCACGACTTTTTAATGAATGTAGCAACCACGAGAGTTAGGTTACGTGTCTGCTTAACAACGAGTATGCAGAGCATCAAGCCTTTACCACTAATTAAGTTGAATAAACCACAAGGGTTTAGCACTTCATGTAGTGGTGGTGGTGTGGGACTCAGTGGTAATGTCCAGGTCGATTCCTAGGATGGGCGAGATGCATAGGAAGTTCTTACATGTGCTTTACCTACTTACCTAGTAGTAAATAGGTAAATGGTTATTGATTCCTGCAAGTCACATCCTATATATATATATATTATATATATATATATATATATATATATATATATTATATATATATATATATATATATATATATATATATATATATATATATTATATATATATATGTCGTGCCGAATATGTAAAACTGGTCAATTAGCAAGAACTCATTTAAAATTAAGTCCTTTCTGAAATTTTCTCTTATACGTTTAAAGATATATTTTTTTCATTAATGATAATGTAAAAAATTTTAATTTTGCACCAAAAGAATCTTAGAAAACTTACCTAACCTTATTATAACAAGAACAATTTATTTTTGCCTAACCCAACTAAATATATTTTAGATTTGTTTACAGTAATTTAATACTAAACAAACACAGTGAAATATATTTTTTTCGTCAGGTTCAGAATGATTTTGGCGAAATTATTGCATACACAAATTTTCACTTGTCCTATATGGCAAGATGAGCGTTGCTATTTAAGCCAAGATCGCAAGTTCTGCCTATTCGGCACGACATATATATATATATATATATATATATATATATATATATATATATATATATATATATATATATATAATATATATATATATATATATATAAAGTGGGTAAAAATGTTATGGAGGGAGTAGTAGGTAAATTTGGGGTGCCAGGGGTAAATGTAAATGGGGAGCCTTTAATTGAGCTATGTGTAGAAAGAGATTTGGTAATAAGTAATACATATTTTATGAAAAAGAGGATAAATAAATATACAAGGTATGATGTAGCACGTAATAAAAGTAGTTTATTAGATTATGTATTGGTGGATAAAAGGTTGATGGGTAGGCTCCAGGATGTACATGTTTATAGAGGGGCAACTGATATATCGGATCATTATTTAGTTGTAGCTACAGTTAGAGTAAGAGGTAGATGGGAAAAGAGGAAGGTGGCAACAACAAGTAAGAGGGAGGTGAAAGTGTATAAACTAAGGGAGGAGGAAGTTCGGGCTAGATATAAGCGACTATTGGCAGAAAGGTGGGCTAGTGCAAAGATGAGTAGTGGGGGGGGGGTTGAAGAGGGTTGGAATAGTTTTAAAAATGCAGTATTAGAATGTGGGGCAGAAATTTGTGGTTATAGGAGGGTGGGGGCAGGAGGAAAGAGGAGTGATTGGTGGAATGATGAAGTAAAGGGTGTGATAAAAGAAAAAAGATAGCTTATGAGAGGTTTTTACAAAGCAGAAGTGTTATAAGAAGAGCAGAGTATATGGAGAGTAAAAGAAAGGTGAAGAGAGTGGTGAGAGAGTGCAAAAGGAGAGCAGATGATAGAGTGGGAGAGGCACTGTCAAGAAATTTTAATGAAAATAAGAAAAAATTTTGGAGTGAGTTAAACAAGTTAAGAAAGCCTAGGGAAAGTATGGATTTGTCCATTAAAAACAGAGTAGGGGAGTTAGTAGATGGGGAGAGGGAGGTATTAGGTAGATGGCGAGAATATTTTGAGGAACTTTTAAATGTTGAGGAAGAAAGGGAGGCGGTAATTTCATGCACTGGTCAGGGAGGTATACCGTCTTTTAGGAGTGAAGAAGAGCAGAATGTAAGTGTGGGCGAGGTACGTGAGGCATTACGTAGAATGAAAGGGGGTAAAGCAGCTGGAGCTGATGGGATCATGACAGAAATGTTAAAAGCAGGGGGGGATATAGTGTTGGAGTGGTTGGTACTTTTGTTTAATGAATGTATGAAAGAGGGGAAGGTACCTAGGGATTGGCGGAGAGCATGTATAGTCCCTTTATATAAAGGGAAAGGGGACAAAAGAGATTGTAAAAATTATAGAGGAATAAGTTTACTGAGTACAGTCACTACTAGGTATACAGATGTATACAAAAATGTGTTCTTTGAATGTTTTGTAATCCAGGTAGACCAGACTCGTGTAAATTATTATTATAATCAAAAAGAAGCGCTAAGCCACAAGGGCTATACAGCGACTCGTGTAAAACTGCACGAAGCAGAGAAATTTCACTCATCAGTGTGTATACAGTGTGAAAAATTATTATTAGCAAATCACCTGCAGGAGGCTAACAGGGCATTACCTGAATTATTACCTGCAAGAAATTTGGTTGAAGTAAGTGGGACTTAGTCACAGTAGGTCACCGAACTGCAACTCCTACAACTGCCCACTTTTATATCTGTTTCACAAAAAACTAGACCTGACATTAAATTAATAATTACAAAATTAAAACCAGCTACTCTGGTACATTGAAGTTTAGTAGAATGTATGAGATTATGTTTGCTGGGAACACCGAATATAATTACTATATATAAATTATTAGTGTTATTAAAAAGAACTTTATATTACCACTTACCATTTAATTACTGGAAGACACTTAATGCTGATGGAACACACCCTAACCTAACCCCTGGCAGCTAGAATTTACGATGGCCAATGCAAAAAATACTGTACATTATGGGTGGGCACTTAGCTAAAGTGTGTTGTTGGAGAGGTTTCATTAAAGTCCTTTATTTTCGTCCACACGCAATTCTTGAGGTCCCGCAAATGTCTTGTCCCAATTCATCAGGAACGTGCCAGCAATTTCTAAATTAAAAAATGAGGCCGATATACACCAGTTTAGTCCTCGGAAAATGCCAAATTATATTGCACCACCAAAGGACCAGCGTTCACATTAAATTTAACATGACGTCTCTACTGGCTGTTCCACACCCCTCCCCCCTTCACTTAAAATTTCTCGAAGGGTCCAAATAGCATCACATTTTAATACGCAATTATATTATTCATTTTGTTCTACATTTAGGAAATTATATAAAAAAATCCCACAGAGCCCATATATAATGAATTTATTTTGATCACTTTTCAAGTAGTTTAAATATTCTTGATTTAGTGCAGATGAATACTCATTTAATTTTAATAAGGAAAAAATGTTAAACCCATAGTCAATGGGAGGCATTCAACCTCCATCCAAGGGAAGGATAAGTCCAATTCCTTGGATCAAGAACGCATCACCGGCTTCAAAGTACCTCTATTGAGAGGTACAGGTAAGTAGCAGTCTCATTAACACTCGTTCACTTTAAATCTAACAAATTAACCATCTTAAGCCAAGAGTTACACTCGGAAAAAATTAGGAAATAGAGCTTGCTTCAAGAGGATTGCTTTGATGCTGGTGAAAGGATTTCAAGCCAAGGAATTGACGCTAACATTTTATTTTCTAAATAACAAAAAGGCACAATACCGTGACTGGAACGATACACAAATAACCCGCACATAAAAGAGAGAAGCTTACGACGACGTTTCGGTCCGACTTGGACCATTGACAAAGTGCGACACTTGAGGATTTAGCGCTCTCTTATGAACATAATTGACTATGAGGGGTAGTTAGTGTAGAAACAGCTGTGATATTTACAAAACACCGTGTAGGTCACTCAACGCTTTTAGCAACAAAAAATTATGTGCAGCAATAAGATAAAATGAAAGAATAGAAGCTAGGAACATGAATAAAACACAACACAAATAAATACTACCATACCTTGGGGCAAGAATAGGCTAAGCAAATTCCACGAGGCTCACGTCAACCGAATACACTCTGCCACCAATTCTCATGACACACCCATCTTTGAGTATGCAGCACCAGCATGGAACCCACATGAAAGACAGCATGTTAAGAATCTGGATACTACACTTTGATCTCAGCCAGAAGAGATATTTAAGAATCTGGAGAAAGTGCAGGGGTGTGCAGACTAGTTTCAGAGGTGCGTGGTGTGAACTGAGGAGAGGCAAACGGAATTGAATCTAACATTAGAGGAGTGCTACCTGGAGTCAAGTCAATGTCTTACCTGGAGGGATAGTAAGATCAGAGTCGGTGTAGTAAAGCTATCACTGACAAAAAGTCAAAGAGGGAGTCTGTGTCAAAGGTAGGGCTGTCAGCGTTAAGAGCGGTGATGATCACAGGTAAATCCTGTATGCTCGTTGGTAGACAGGACAGTATATGACGAACTGAAAATGGAACTTTACAATTATCAGTGGCACTGGGCATTTCTCCATGATTATTATAATAAAAAAAGCACAATCTACAAGGGTCATACAGCGCCGCCGGGCAGGGAAGCAAGAGGGAGAGGAATGATTATTAGGTCATGGAGTGCAGCAGGGCAGTGGATAGTGCAGGGGTAGAGGGTAGCAAGAGATTGAGGTAGAAAGGGCTGTGAGTACTAGAGGCATCATCATCAGAGTTTGTGCGGAAAATCATTATGCCCAAAAAATCAACGGAGTCGGTTTTAAAGGAAAAGCCCATCAATCCCTAAGGAGACTGGTCCATTTGGGTAGGGGGGGGGGAGTAATCTCCCAAACATGACGCAGATTAGAAAACCAGAAACCAAAATAGGGTTTAATAAAAAAAATTGTCATAATCGCTCAGACTATCTTTTTTTCCCAACGGCTCTGAAGTTTTTCCCAAGATTACTGCAAAAAGTCTAAAAAATGGAATCAAAGAGCCGACTACCACCATTCCCCCTGCTTTTTAAACATCCATTTTAGGACCGCAAAATTATTTTTTAAAATCAAAAAGAAACCGGACCCAGAAAAAAAAATTAATTTTTACTAGAAATGCAATGGGGGAAAAACCCAAAAGTTGATACAAGAACATTATTATTATTATAATCATGGGGAAGTACTAAACCCATAGATTATACAGCGATCGAGAACAAGGGATGCAAGATCCAGCAGACACAAAATACCCAAGTAATTGTTTTGTAGTCAAGAACAAGCAGTTCGATTATTATAATCAAGGGGGGGAAACGCTAAACCCCAGGGTTATACAGCGCCTGTGGGGAGAAAATTTGGAAAATATTCAGGTTTAATTTAGGGAAATGGACACAATCCCAAATTTCCCCAAATCAAAAGCCCTCTCACCAGCACAAAGGGAAACCCTTTTTGAAGGCAAACGCTTTTGAGGGGAAAACTGTTCGCTGGACAAGTGGTAACCAAGATGTCGCAGCACACTAATCGGTCTGACAGGTAGGAAATGGAGTGATCTTAAAGTTGTGGAGGCAGATTCTTTAATTTTAAAAAGAAGGTACAAAAGGGCCCCTGGTGTGAATGGGTATTGGCCCACAACTGCACATTATAATGAGTGCTAAAACGTAGGGGTAAACAGCGCCTGTAGGGGGGGGAGGATGGGAAGGGATTAGGCTCAATTCGGGGAAATTTGGGGCAAATCCATTCCCTAGATCAAGAGCCCCCTTACCAGCATCAAGGATTATTAATAATCAAGGGGAGCATTAATTTATTATAATCTGAAAGAAGCGCTAAAGCACAAGGGGGAGCACAAAACCCGTAGAATTATGCAGCACCAGTGGGGGGATGCGGAAGGTATTCAGGCTTAATTCAGGGGACTGGAGCACAGATCCAATTCCCTAGATCAAGAGCCCCTCACCATCAAAGAACCTCCCTTGAGGGGTGCACACATGCACATGTGCTTTCACACACATTATTATAATCAAAAAGAAGCACTAAGCCACAAGGGCTATACAGCGCTGCAGGGTAGGGAAGGAAGCGAGGGTATCGGGCAGCAGAAGGGGGGAGGGATGATTAGTAGGTTACAGAAAACAGTGGGGCAAGGGATAGTGCAGGGGTAAAGGGTAGCAATTGATTGAGGTAGAAAGGGCTGAAGGTATCATCATCCGAGTTTGTGGAGTAAGTCAGTTGTCAAAAAGTGTCCGGATGAAAGGTGGGTCTATCAGCGAGAAGGGAAGGTAAAGAGAGAGCAGCGGAGCGAAGACAACGTTGGAGGTAAATTCTGCGTGCTTGTTGATAAAGTGGGCAGTCTAACAGAATGTGGCTGACCGATACTGGAACCTGACAATTCTCAGAGAGAGGAGCAGGGCGCCTCTCCATGAGATATCCATGAGTAAGACGAGTATGGCCAATGCGAAGGCGGGAGAGAGTAGTCTCCCAGCCTCGATACTGATGACAAGAAGACGGCCAGTAACCGATACTCGGTTTAATAGAACAAAGTTTATTGAGCAGAGCAGACCAATGTTGTTGCCAACGGGTGTGAAGGTGGGAAACTATAACAGTAAAACAGTCCATTAATGGAACACCTCTATATGAAACTGGAAGGTCATGTACTGCTGACCGCACAGCCTTTTCATTGCCCTGTACGTCAACATGACCAGGGACCCAACAAAAAAAAACAATATGCCGTAACCAAAGTTGGATATGAAGAACTAGGGGGCGAGGCGTGTCAAATTTTTGTATAGCCTGTAAAGCACTAAGGGAGTCTGAAACAACCACAAATGATGACACAGGCAAAGATGCAATACGGATAAGTGCTGCAATAATGGCATACAATTCAGCAGTAAAAATGCTAGCCGAAGACAGTAAATGCCCTCGCACAACGCTGTCCACACACACACAAAACCTACTATATCCATGGACAATCTTAATATTCTTTGCAAATAGCCGTAATTTTCAGTTTGCATCAACACACTCTTTGGGGTTTAGCACTACATTATGATTATAATTTCGGTTTGCATTCACTGGCTGGTCTTACTCTTCAAGGTAAATGAAAAAGCAATAGTGTAAAAGTTTCAATATGTATTCTTTGCACTGGAAAAAGACATTTGAGCTGAGGAAAAGCATGAATGTAAATCATATTTTGCATATGATAATCACAAATACAGTACTCTTAGCAGTACAGTGAATGTATATATAAAACAGTGTAAAACAAATATCCATTGATGAAAGACAAACTTAGGACAATAGTGATTTCTTGACATAATGAGGGCTAGTCGAAGTTTTCTGAGCCAGCAAAATATGCACTAAATAGTTATGTAATATGATCATTTAATGGACACACTATACAAGAAACTGTTGTATACTTATGTTCTCTTGCAGCATTTATGCATTCCCACTATGAAAGTGCTCATCCCAGAAATCACAAATGTTACCCTGCAAGGTAAGATATTCCTTCCATGTGGAATATGTTATTTAACGAAAACTGATACTTGACACTAACTACTACAGCATGTCAGAAACATGCAGAGTAACAACACATTTTTTGTCATGAATGCATGTAATGGTGGCATTATTATTGTTATTATTACTACATTTACAGAGCTCTAAACCCATAGGGGTCACAGCACCCAGGGGAATGAGATGCATCCTAGTTCTATCAAAGGACGGGAATAAAGACCCAATTCCTTAGGCCAAGAGCCCCTCACTGACATAAAGGAACCTCCCTTGAGGGGAATTCGGTCTATATGGTATACTGTATATAGTAATTTCAGTATTTACACATTCAAGACATCAACACTACCTACCTTTTTCCTTCAAAGGAGAGGGGGAGGGGGGTATTCTTACTGTTGCAAAGCAGCTCATGATTCAAGACATGGGACCTCATCTCACTTTCCTCAAATCTAACCCTAATGCCCTAACCCTCATTCTATTTAAACTAAAATAATTTTTAGCTCTTCATTCAAGTACTGTGCCCAGGAAATGGTAGTCACCCCAAGCATAATCAACAGAGTACTTCCTCCCATCCCAATGTAAAACTGACCCAGAGAAAATCAGCATGAAGACAGATACATTACACAACAGAGGTTTTTCAACACTTCATAGGGCAGATAATGAAAATAAAGATTATGTCAGCTGCATTAAACAATAAAAGACTGTTGTAGCTATACGTTTAACCTAAGATAATCAGGGTTAAGTTACTCTTGATTACTTTGTCAAATATAAGAGGTGTTATAGTTTACTACTTCAATTTTAATAAACATTGTGAGTCTTAACTAGATACACATCTAATAGTGATTATATGCAATTCACCACAAAAATTCGCGACATCACCCTATGTATGGCTAGTTGCCAGCAGCACCTGTCAAGAAATAAGTAATATAGTACAATACTGTATATACAAACCCTCAAAAAAATCTAATTTTAAACAATACTTAAATTGCAGTGTATGTGATACCATATACTAAATGGCTCTATACAGTACTCATGCGTTTGCAAAATATCCATATTTGCTGTAACAAGAAAATGTTTTAAAAACTGAAAAAGTTGAGGATAGTGTAGTGTTAAGGTAACATTTTCATAATGGGAAATTGCACAGAAAAATCTACAACAGTACTGTATTTGCGAGGAAAGATTTCAGTTTTGACAGATTATTATTGACAAACTCCAATACAAGTGTCTTGTACTGAAGATATACAGTATTAACAATAATTAATAATAAATTAGACTTTCATGCTTATTGCAAACTACTATCTCAAAGGTGTACAATGATAAAGGTCATGTTTGAATGATCATAATGTATAGTACTTACTATGTCACTGTCAAAAGATTATTTTTACATAGACTATATGAGCTACAGTACTTCATTTTTGGGAGGAAAAATTTGATGATAATGCTATAACCACTTTTTTTTTTTTTAAATATAATTGTCATTATAAACATCTACTGTGTATTAATTTGCAAATGACTAAAAAAAAAATTAAGTCTGTAAAACAACTTCAATTTTGAGCTTTAATGAAAATTTCCAGATGGACGGATCTAATTACACACACATCACCCATGAACAGGTTGCATAATTTTTGTCTTAGTGCAGCTGAAAGCTTAAGAAAACATTGTGGGATGGAATAACATTAGGCAAAGAAAATCTGAGTATGTGAAAGAATTTAAAAATTAAAAGGAGTATTCAATATTTCAAGCTAATATTAAATATACAGCATAATACAATTAAATGGGAGATTCAAAATATATCCACAAAGATTTTAATTAGAAGTTGTTGAAGTTTGCACAGCTTAAAACCTTGTTATATACATAGTTAAACTATACTTTATCAAAAAAAAAGTAGAGCCTTTTGGTTATTAGATTCTAAATTTTAGAAGCATTGCAGCATTTTTAATTGGTTTGGTACATGAATTTAGTGAATTTTCCTCCAGTAAGTACTTTTGGGTTTAAGAAAAAATAAGATTATAGCTTAACGTCATTCAGTTCTGACTTAGAATGTCAAAAATATTATTGACGGTAATTTCTGAAGCAAACTTAAAATCATACCGGCCTCTAAAGTTGAATACAAAAGTAATGAAAAAGAACAACCACTTCATTCATTTTGTGGCTCAAATTCTTTGATTTCCCCATAAATTATTAACAATTAAATGAAATACAAATTCATTACAGAATGCTACAAAATACGGGTTTTCTGTACAAACCATGGCCCACAATTCATCAAAATTGGTGTACATGGAAAAAAACAACCAGCCTTCTCTTCATTTAAACTTTTTTTTTTTTTTGGTTGAAAAATTTAATAAGAATGCAGCACAGTACAGTTACTTTAATATATAGTGTGTGTGTAATATCATTAATAATATATATACAATAAATAAAATAATATATATTATTATAAATATTTATATATATATTTGTATATAAATATTATATAATGATGAAGCAAGTAGTATGTAATTAGTATGTATGTGTGTTGTATTATTATGTATTATTATATTTATGTATATGTATTATTATTATTATGTATGTATGTATGTATTATGTAATTATGTATGTATGTATGTATGTATGTATGTTACACTTCAAAACATATTTATTGTTAAAGAATATTAATGTATGAATTGATAATTTTGGAAAGTTTCCAGTGCACAAGCCAAATCACAAGATGCATAATGGTATATTACTGTACATGCTATAGCACCAGGTATATGTAACAAACACTTTCAAATTTTCAGGCTTTGAGGCACAATAAAATTCACTGAACATTAGAGTGCCAATAAGCAGCACTGTGCTCTTGATACACTGACTACAAGCTGAAACTTATCAGCAACAATATATGAATCTGAATGTCCATGTGCAAGACTTTTCTGGATCCCCACCAGAAGTGTAACCAAGTTGCACATTTTACTGTTAAAAATAAGAAAATAACTTAATGTCTTCTTCACATACTCATTCTGCAAAAGTATTTGTAAAATATACATAATAAGTTACACATTCGATATACCTCTTTCATCATACACTATCAGACACCAATAGTTTATAGTTTTACCTTAACATTAGCAATTCCATTCTTGCATGCACAGCCATGTCCAATGATTATTAATGCATATCAGACATTAAAGTGAGCTAGTTTCCCTATCAAATGAGTCACCAGCTCTAAACGACCAGATTATTTTTGTATGGGAGAGAGAGAAAGGGAGAAAGAGAGCGAGAGGGAGGGTGAGACTCAGCACATGTGCAAAAGTGTCTAATTACTGGCAACAACCAATTAGCTATTTGTCCAATTACAAGGTAACTCCTGAAATCTACAGATTTCCTACGTTAATAAACGAAAGTTTTGTTTATGAACCTTTCTTGATATATGTATTGTATTTGAGTAAACCATATTAACATGGCTCATCATCAGTGGTGAAAATATTCCGGGCCCTAGGGAGAGGCATGAAACTTTTAATGAGCAAATCAATACATGGTTCGAATAATTCACAAAATACAAATCTGAAATGGAAACTACATATTTCACTCCATCCTGAACCTGATAATCTAGGTAGGACCAAATCTTCTCTACTTTTCATTTCCAGTGTGTAGGTTAGGTGTGAAATTTGCCATTAATTCTTTCAAACAAAGAAGGAAGACCAATCAATGCTAGACCTACTCAGATCTATTCAAGAGGGCAAATTTTTAGCTAGCTATGATTGTGCCATCCAAAGATGACTGGATACATATGCTGAAGGTAATCACCTGCATTAAGAGAAAATGATATTTAACCTGAGTAACTAAAACAAAATGATAACTACAGTATTATATTTTGCCTCAAAACAATCATAATAGACCTTGTATTAATAAATAAGGTCATCAATGCAGATATTAATGACTCTGAAGATAAACAAGTACAGTAAACCTGGATTCAATGGACCGCAATTGTATTTAACGGATAAAATTAATTTTCTGGAGAAAGTCGGAAAACAGTTTAGTCAGTTATATGCAGAATTGTGTGTAATTACGGACAGATGGGTAAATTTATTTTGGACTTGATGGACCAAGTCCATCAAATCCAGACCTATCCATTACTGTTACAATTGTGAAAAATCCTCTTCATTCAGATTTAACCAGCATTGATGGGAACCCTCTCCTATATTAGACCTTTTAATTAGGGTTTCACTGTATTCAATTTAATTAAACCAATGACCTATTAATACAATCCTTATCTGAACCTAAGCCTCTTGGGGCATGAAACATTTTCACCTTCATGAATATCTTTGGTACTCTTTAACAAAATTTGAACCTTATAATACTGAATTTATCACACAATTTGTGTAGACTTATCACAACCACTACTAGTCAATATAAATGGAATTTACACACAATTGCTATGGAAAATTGTAATATAAATCACAATACAGCAACACTGTAGTTATTCCCTAAGTACATGACATATGCAAACCTTGAGACGTTTGTATGAGGTATGACTGTTGGGTTTCAATACTAGAAACTAGTAACCTGACAAACAAATACCACAGAATGCTTTGCCTTAAAAACAGTGTGTGCAGGACTTCTCAAACTGAAAATTACACACCACAAATTTTTGGTATTTCAGGTTTCATGTGTGTTGATACTGTATTTTTAAGGCATTTGCTCAAAAAATATATAAAAAAAATGCCAATTAACATACTAAAATATTTATTTCCAATGTCAAATGGGAAGGCCATATAATTAAGTAGCATTTAATGCTGTGTTCAACCCATCACCACTAGTCACACATTATTATTTTACTGTGCACGAGGGTAAAATTTTACCACTTTCCAAGATAAATGCACATTCTCTGATTTGGCAGGGATTAAATCCTCTAAAAATATCCTAAAATAGGACAGAACAATGAAATAAAGGGTAGGAACTCAAAACCCCTGACATAGCAAGAAAGAACAAGGCAATAAAAGGTAGGAACTTGTGTGTTAATACAACACATATTGCCCATTATCTTTTTTGTCTGACAAAATGCACATATGCTGAGGTTGTTTTATTACGGATTTACTTGCTCAAAATAAATGATGCTTAATTAAAAAGAATTATTTATAACCAATCACTTTTAAATATGAGACCCTTTCATTGGGGCTCACAACTTCCTTTTTACCAATAACTTTTAAAATAGACGAAATTGGTTTTCTCTAGTGATAAGTTTTCACACAGTCTAGCATCATTATGGCACACATCACTCACTCTGTCTCAACACCTGTATATGTGATCAGTGTCACTGAATAAGGACCAAGCTTGTTAGTCTGGTAAACCCCAGTGTGACACTATCAAAAGGTTTGCATGACGGGGTAGCCACAGCTGCAGCAATTCAAGTATGTGGCCAGCTGGAAAAGCAGAGTGGAGCAGGATCTCGTCAAGTATTAGCAGAAGCATTATTTACACGAGCCAAATATTCCTCACGTTCTTTCTGGTCAAGGTACCACACAGTGATAGCATATCTGCTGAGAAAAGAAAACACTCCTATCAAATACTGTAGCTATGAACAATATTAATTACTATTTCAAAAAGTATTAGCTTACACAAGACCACCATCATACTGACTAGGCCAATACATATACAACATGTTTCACTTTAAATACTATGTGGTATAGTTGGTAAGGTAAGGGTTTTGAGTGAGGTTGCTAGCTGACCAACATTCCTTAACATTATACTGCCTTCATAATATTGCAAAGTTCTCATTGCAAGTACAGTGGTTCCTTGAGTTGTAATAGTAATCTGTTTCAGAAGATGTATCGTACCTAGGAACTATCGTAACTCAAAGCCTAAAATACAATTTTATGGAAATTTGGTCCAAGACCCATGAAGTGCAAATTTTACTATATTTTGAACTTGCACACTAACATATATAATGTACAGGCAATATCTCTATCTTCATCTGCTTCTTGCTTATCCACAATAACTTTCTTTCAATCTCTATGATAATTTCTCCGGCTTTTCTCACTAGCTTAGATTCGTCAGCCACTTTAATGCTCTTTCTAGTTTGTCTGGAGATGGTCAATTGTGGAAAGTCATACTCTTGTACTGATTTACTACTTCTAACTCCATCAATTTTTCACAATTTCTTGTTTGATGTTCAGAGAAATTGCCTGTTTACTGCACACTTTAGGGGCCATGATGACTTGATAACACAAAAGATGATGTAATTAAATTATTAATGCATATCTAATCTCAAAATTTTCCATTGTAACTACAAACTAAATTAATTTATGAGAGCAAACCCTAATGCAAGGGACTACTGTACCACTACAGGAGAACTTCTCATTAATGGATATCAGCAATTATAGGCAAAGAATTTGGCCAGACAAATGTTGGAAAACATTGGACAAATTTAAAAACAAATGCAATAATATCAGTAATAAAACTAGGATGAATTTAATTACCTTTTAATAGTTATTATAAAATCAAACTGTAACAAGGTAAAAGCACCAGATTCAAAGTAACAGTTTCAAAATTATCAGTGTGAAAGCAAATCATCAAATCAGTAATTTGATGCACAGCCTGGCATTAAGAAACAGGTGCTGCAACATCAATTGGTAGGAAGATTATACAGGTTGGCCATTACTAATCCAGCATCATCGGGACCTGTAGGGTGCCGGATTACCCAATTTACACCCTATTTTTGGCCCGTTCCCTTGTTCCAGTCTACCAAACCCACAGCTATTTTGCTAGTATTCATTCTGTAGTGCTATTTAAATTCAGCAAGGTTTATAGAAGTGTTGCACTGAACCTTCACCTCAGTGCAACTCTTGCAACTGTATTTGTGTATACCTGAATAAACTTACTTATTTACTTACTTCTATTCTCTCAACTGAGTACAAGACACTGCCCATTCACCTTTTTCAACTACCCAATGAAGTGGTCAGAAATTGGCAATTTGGCCAATTTCACACAAATTTCTAAAGATGCCAATTTCAAAATAGGGTCCAGAATAAACAATGCAGACATTCCTGGCACTAAAATAACATTTTCTCTGTCCATTAGTCACAGCTCCTGGCCCTTCTTATATTACTCTGCTTTCCATTTTGAATTTTTATTCACCCAAAAAACAGAAGATTTACTGTTATGCAGACTATTGCATTATTGTAATAATTGTATAAATAATGTCAACCCATTTGTGACTGTGTATTACACTGGCCAGTCAGACACATATTGGACGGTGACATCATTTGTTTACTCTTGAACATCGTCAAGGAATCGAACATTTCTGTTACTTTGAGCTCAATTTCAAGGTACCTTTCCTTGTGAAACGAATCAAAATCATATCTATTTCTGTAATATATCTTCCATTCTATCAAACGAGACCAAAAAACGAGAATATAACCATAAAAACTATACAAAAATATACTGCAAAGGGGCGACTAATGGCTGAGAAGTGAACTCTTCTTATTTATCGTCCATTACTTTCATTTTTGGTGTACGTTAAGAAGCATCTTTCCATCACATATTGCCCAAGTTTCAATAAGAGAGCCCAACAAATAACTGGGGAAAAAAAATATTTACCAAAAATTATATATGGCAAGCCCAAGCCAGGTACTGGAAATAAATCATTGACTTTTTTGGGTTATCCTAGGTTCTCTACACATATGCTATGTATGATAATCTATGCAGAGAAAATAGCTTTTTTGTTTCAGTTTTATGGTGCAGTACCAGTGCATATCACAGTTAGCCCTGTGCTATACTCTGTTTTCTCAAACATATGCCCCCAAGACAGGGATAGGAGGATGGTACTTGTATCCCATATCCACTTCATACCTCTGTCGAACCGCTCAGTATTATGGCAAATATTATTTCTGGAGTATTTACCATGTTTTTATGTTATTTATATTGTTTATTATGTCATATCAGATCAACTGTGATAGGTAAATAAGCTGTAGTGTTGATATTAGCATAATAATAAAGCATATTCCCCTGCATCACGAGACTGAGCTCATGGCAACCGACAGTGGCTTCAAAGCCACCTTATCTTTTATGGACAATGTACTATGTATGTGCTTTACACAACGAGAAGAATTTCTTTTATTCATTAGAACCATGGCTAGGGCTAAAAGTAAGCAGGTTATAACAATAAATAGGGAAAAAGAAGTTGGAATGACTTAAGCAGCAAGTAGTGACACCAAACAGTAGCAGCAGGTTGGTGTGGCGACCCTGGAAATTTGAACTTATGCTAGCTGAAATTAATGCCGGATAACCGATTGAACAGGATGACTGATTGCCAGATTAGTGAGTACCGACCTGTAATTTTTTTCACCAACCCATTAACACACCTTTCATCATTAAGAGAAAAAGTCAAATAATTTTGCCAACAATGTGTTCAAGCAGTACATGTACACACCTGGTAATTTTAGCAGGCAACACTTCATGAGGGTTGCGACGATCTGACCAGAAAAAGAGCATACGATCAAACAAAGGCTCAATTTCTGCAACTTTGTCACTGCAACCTTCAGGATAGATTCGTAGTACACCACCATCCTGCAGAGTCAAAGAACAAAAATTATTACTGTATACAACACAATTTCTGTTATCATAAGATAATGTATTAAAGAATGCAAAACACCTTTTATACACGTATTTGTTCTTTCATTGCATTGGCCGCATCCAACTGAAGCAGGGCGACCCAAAAAGATAAACAAAAGTTTCTCTTTTTTTAAATTTAGTAATGTATACAGGAAAAGGGGTTACTAGCCCCTTGCTCCCAGCATTTTAGTTGCCTATGATATGCACGGCTTATGGAGAAAGAATTCTGTTCCACTTTCCCATGGAGTTTTATACATATAAATACCTAAACTGAGACAATTCACTTGGATTACATTTTAACTAGTTCAAAACACTAAATAAAAATCTGATCAAAAACTGCAGAATGAAAGGTACTGTTGAACAAGACTTGCAAAGATATACAGAATAAGACTAAGGAATAGGCACAGCAGAATAAAACAGCAAGTGCTGCAGAACGAGCTCAGCAAAGCTGTCTCAAGAGCCTGCACAAGCCATTCTATGGAACTAATGTGTTGTAAATTTATAAATTGAGTAAGACCCTTAACACAGGATAGATAAATGAGAAAATGTAACTATAATAAACATCTTACTGATTACCAAACAATTCCATTGATTGGGGAAGGAGTGGGAAAGAGGGAGGGAAGAATTAAATCTGTAGGGATCATGTAGCACCTGGGAAAACTAGGAGGCAATTGAGCTCAAGCCAAGAAGGGGAGGACAAATCCAATTCCTTGGGTTAAGAGCCCTTCTCCAGTATCAAAGTACCTCCCTAGAGAAGTTTACAAGTATAAAAAATATTCCTCATTTGTAGTATTATCCTCAATATCACATGCAATAGAACTGTAAATGTGGCAATCTGCCAGGTACTGTACAACAGCCTTGGATCCTGTTCAGAATTTAAATTACTATACTTCTGGTGTAAGCAGAAACGTTAATGCAGTGTGTATTATATAAGATATAAAACTAGTCTGTCCCTTAAAAATTTATTGTAGTTCCACTAATTCATTTTGCTATTTTATATAAACATTGTTTACCTTTCACAACTAACATGCCAAGCTGCCATATACAAAACTTAAGAGTAAATTTATGGAACATTTATCCACAAATGTTTAGAACATATGAGCCAGCTGTTAAAAATACCTAATTACAATGTATATTTCTTCTGATGTTTATAGAATACGAATCAAGGCCTAGTTTAAAGTGTCATACACCTTTCAGTTTCACTTTTCTGTTTCTCTACCAATAATTTCCCCAATTACGATAACCACTCAAAAAGTAGAGTTGAAAGCATAAAGAAAGAATGACATTGTATTACTAATGTGCTCCAGATTTAATAATAAACTCATTAAAGGTGTCGGATTTGTACTGCAGCAGCTACACATTTCGTTTTAATAACCTTATGATTTGAAGTTGCTAAGCAATGTTTTGAGCCATTATCACTAAGAGAGCATGTTTCCTGGTACCTGTCGTCCCTTTTCACCTAGCAGCAAGTACCTGGGTGTAGACAACTTTTCTGGGCCGCACCCTAGGAAAGAGCAAAAGTACTTTACTCGAAATAAGGGCCAACAATGGCTTTCGAGAGTTGCCTTGAGTTACTAACCCACGAGTTAATAATCACAAGTATTTACAGTATTTGTGCAAGTTCCTAATTGGAAGAAATGTCAACTGTTAGAATAACGGCTAATTTGACATAGTTATTAACAGTTATACAGGCTTAAATTTATAAATATTCATCAGCATCATTCTGCACGAATATGTAGACATTGCATAAATACCGCGAGAATTAAAAGTATTGTTAATTAAAGCCCAGTTATTTCCGCGGCACCATGGATATAATACCAATCCATAAACCTTATTAACCAACAGGAATAAATCAATACTAGAGTTATTAAAACTGACGAATGGTAAGGAAGGCAGCAACCCCCCCCCCCTCCCCCAAGCCACCCCCACCTTCCTCTGATACTCCATGAACCAAATGAGTCAACACTCTTCTCTCACTTAAGACAAGTAGTTCTCCCACTCACTATCCTCTTAAGATAACGAAAACCACCACACCACTTATTACACAAAAGTTTAGCGCTCCCTCACGAATGTAATAATGCTTGCTCAGTTAAGGTAGAATACACAAATAATGGAATTTTAATGGTTACCTGGAGTTTAAACTCTCTCCAGGTAAACTCCAGGTAACCATTAAAATTCCATTATTTGTGTATTCTACCTTAACTGAGCAAGCATTATTACATTCGTGAGGGAGCGCTAAACCCGTAGATTATACAACTAGGGAAAAATGGAGGCAATCAGGTTCGATCCGAGAAAAGGGAAAGTTAGGTCGAACTCCCTGGTTGAATTCAAGAGCCCCGCACCAGCATCAAGGTACCTCACTCTAAGGAAGGGGGGCGGGGACAGTATCACTAACACAGTATTACTTCAAGGTGAGGCAAACTAATTCAGGGCAAGAGAAGAGCCCACATCATCGTTTTATACAAATGATCACATCACTATTCAGGTCAGTTTCTGAAATAAGCCGGTTACATTATCAGACGACAAATTAACTGCTCCAGCACTTGTCTACACGCGTCTTGGTGCATGACAAAGTAACTAATTTACAATAAAACTGGCTTGCAAAATCTATAAAAGTTTCGGTCATTTAATGAAACATCAATACAATTCTTAGTTGGATAATTAAAATGCAGCATATAATAACATTAAAGCAAACCCTGGATGTGGCGTACGTGACAGGCAGAGAGGCCTCGCACCAAGCATAACGCGGGCCCCTGAGCGAGCACTCACAAGCACAGGTAGTGGGTAAAAGTTGCCGCAAAATTCAAACGCGCCATGCACAAAAACTGTACGTCCTCTAATAAACATTATTACATGCACTTTCTATATTTTATTTCTTTTATGACGCAAAAATGCATTTAAATTTTAGCATTTATCTTTACATATATTTTATTTCTTTTATGATGCAAAAATGCATTAAAAGTTTACCATTTATAATGTTAAGTGTAACAATGTTTAGAAATAAACAAAATATATTTCTAGTTATAAAAGCATCCGTCTAGGAGGATAAAGGTGAATGTTTATTTCTAGTTACAAAAGCATTAAGGGATTTCAGAGGATAACTACAAAGATAGCAATGATGCTGCAGGTGCTTTAGAGGGAGTGGCAGGTGCTCAGTCACTGGGTAAACCTGTTCCTTGTTCAAATCTTAACCAGACAACTTTAGGTATGCCTTGCTTCATTTACTAAGTTCAGCAGAAATATAATATGAAAGTTTCTTAATATCTGAAAGTATGCTTGACTATTATTACTACTGTCACTGTAAAAATCTAAACACCAAAAGGTTCGTTTTCATGTTGGAGCTCATACTGGAAGACCTAGACCTTTATTAGTAAAAAAATGAAAAGTACTGGACACTGGTGCATAAAAAAAATATTATCCACCTGTACCTATTGAATCACTACCCAGCATAACTTTGATAATTTGGGATATTGCCGACTTGTTTGCCTCTTTCAAGGGTCCAATTTTACATTATTATTATAGACCTGTATGCAATATATTAATATAAAGAAATTCCCCACAAGAGCAATCATCCATCATAATATATTGTTAAAAGATGCATCATGACTTCCTTTATTCTTTAAAAAAATTATACATTTTTATCTTCAGTGAGAGTACCAAATCCTAAGGATAATTCAGTGCTAAACTGAAAAGATGGCAAGTAATAAAAAGGTATTAATAAGGAAAGAAAGTACCAAGAGACAGCAAAAAACATAGAACTCTTAGTCCATGCATGCAGGTCAGTCATGATCAAAAGGTCACACACTCTACTTTACTGTGGAGCGCTCAGAGAGAACAATATTAAGCACAGCTGGGAACTAGGTAGTGACTGAAAACAAAGGTGGGTGGGTTCATTTAATTGGGACACTACCAAAAGGTGTGACATATCAACACAATCTGGACTCTTATTTATGTCAGTAAGTCCCCCTCCATGAGCTGATTATGTACAGCCGAGCAGAGTTCCTCTCTCCCCAACCAATAAAGCAAGGATAAGCAGAAATTTAAGATTGATGTAATTAGGTACAACTTGTTAGTAATCAACTCAAACCAATGTCACTGCAATTTATCCCACAAGAATTAAAAAAAAGACTAGATAAGTATGGCAACTGCTTATTGTCATACTCCTACAATTTTATCATTTACCACTCACACATTTAGTGTAATTAGCATAATTTGTTTATGCCAAATTATGGTACTTTAACTTGTTAAATGATACACAGTGTAAATTGCTGCACAAGTAGTTTTCCACTTTGATTTATTTATAATCAATGTCTAGAAAGTTACTTCATTTTTTATCGAACAGTACACTCACCCCTAAAAATTTGCAGTACTGAACTTTAAATTAAATCATTTTGGTTATTCAACATTTTTACTGAAGAGCCTTGAGGATATCCTGAATATTCATGGGATTTTGCATAGAAGAAAATATCTGAAGAAAATTAACTTTTATTTTGCATTTCACCTAAATGTGTCAGATAATATTTTAAGAATTGTGAATAGTATAGCCAAGAAGGAACATTTTGAGGTGGTGTTGATGTAGCCACAATGTCTGAGAATGTGCCCTCCTGATGTTTGTTTTGCTGACCCTGCAATATTTTGGTTCTCGAGTCACAATGAGTTGAATCTCCCTCTTGCCCATGAATGTGATCCCTTTATTCATTTATCTGCTGATAATGGTGGTATTCTAGCACTGATGGCTCCTAAGCATAGCAAGAGTGGCAGAGTCTGCTCCTAAGAGTAAGAAGGTTTTTATATTAAGAAAGAATGAGTTATTAGACAACCTGGCTAAGGAGTAAGAGAAAAGATGTTGGGCAGCCAGACCTCAGCCACTACAGCCAGAGATGGAGGTCTCTGAAGAACAATCATCCAGGTGACTTCCCATGGAGTACAATTTTAATCCTCATTAAGTTGCACACTATTATTTGTACAGTACTGCATTAGTTTGCATACCATATATTGGTAAAAGGTTAGAAAAAATGGAATTATGAAAACAGAACCTAGCAGTACTCACAGTTTCTAGATGCAGTAAAATTTCTAGTAAATTATAAAATATAGAAGAAATAAAAGGCTATTAAAAGTGGCCGAGATTTTTTTGTTTAAAGGTTAGATACATATATGGGTAAAAGGAATAATGTCACCAATAAGGTGTTACAAATTACTGCTTCCCAATGATGCTCCTAATTTACATTACAAGACAAAACAAAATAAATGAAAGTATCTGCCATTGATGCAAATATCCTATGCACAACATGTAATTAAAATGTCTATATTCCTACACTTGATAAATCGAGGAAATGAGTGATGGATGATGGACTTTAATGTAAGCGTGTGCTGTGTAATGGTAATCTGAGAAAACAATTACAAGCCACATCAAGAATATAGATTATAAGGTAAAATATTAAAAGCATTAGAGAGGGATCTAAGAGTTATGGGCAAAAGTGTTACCAGAATACCGCACAATTGAAATCCTGAGAAACTTATACTGTATGTGAAAACTTGAAAATAGTTTTCAGCTCTGAATGGGAATGTACAAACTAAGGTATTAACAATACACAATAGGCTGGAATCTGAATATGATGTGGTGTTCACTTACAGAGATATGTAAAATAATAAAAGCTATTCTAGAGCAAGTTACACATTAGCATCCTGAACTACAATTCAATATCAACTAAACTAAAAAAAAAAAAAAAAAAAGTGAAAACCCTTATAGCCTTCACTGGTTAACAGAAGATAATGGTGTTAACCCCTTTAATTTTTATAAATTATTCAGATGTACCCACTGTGTATCCCTTAATCCTTAATAAATTAGGGGCTGCAGTCAATTCTTAAGTAGAACTCCTGTACAATGTTATATGCTCACATTATGTGTGCATAAAATTCAACAATGGAAATTCCTTGTAAAATAACCTTATCCATACAGTAATCAAATAATGTAGATAAATGATATGAAGTACCTGTGATGTCCAGTGTTTGTTTACATAGTAAATAGCAGTAATGCAGCGTCCATCACCATTTGGATTGTCAATGTGCTTCACATAATGTGCACCTTGCCCAGGGTAACAAGCCACCATAGCCTAAAAACAAAACCAATTTGGTCACATTAGTTACATATAGTGTACATGCATACAAAACATTAAATAATGACAAATTACACAGTCATTTTGTAACAAATGCTTTTCTAAAAACTGCTAATGGTAACTATTTTTGGTGTTCTTATACAGTTTAATTACATTTACTATCATGTTTACTACTGGACGAATAATTTTGGAGACATCCAAGAAACTTCAAAACACTTTCCATAACATCCCATTTACATAACATAACATTTAAATATTTATAGTATTGCTATATCAGGATTGTAGAGCACAGTTTGCTTTCTGAAAGATACCTTCATTTCTAAGTTGTTTTGCCTATTCAGCAACTCAACATACATTTTTTATTAAGCATGTTTTAAATAGAATACCTATTGAAGTGATAAAACTAATGCTTCTCACTTAATGGTTCAAGTTTTACAACTGTTCCTTTCTTTCCACTGTTCTATCCACCACTGTTATTTGTATTTCACATAACACCAGAACTTTCCTAACTCAAATAATGTGCTAGTGCAGTTTAATCGTTAAATTACTAAGGCTATGACTTAATCTCGTTCCTATAAGATTTCTCTGAGCAAAAAGTCTTTTACACTTTAAATAATGTAACGTGAAGCAGATCATAAAATGCCTCTCAGTTTCATCATGTACTTTGTCAAGTGTACACAAAAATATTGTATCATTTCACCCCTTTGCTATTTCTTGCCCAAAACATTGCTTATTATGTTTTACTGAAGAATCATTTCAATTACTGCTCTACATATTGATCCAATAACCAATTTAACAAAATGCAGTACTATTCTACAGTATACACAGTTTGGATCTAGATAAGTGAATACAACATATAGCACAAGAAAAGCACCAGTGTACAAATGTTAAATTGGCGATCACAAACATGAACAAGATACTCACCCGCGTTCTCCAGGTGATGTTGTAGTGTGCTAGTTTGCCAGCATCTTGGTGTTTATTTGCCTTTGCCACTAGAGAATCCACAGCCGTCACTAACTGGCCAATATTGCTGCAGTTAGGTTCGCTACCCGTAACCCAGGTAATTTTGTCACCACGAATCATTCCCCGTGCTTGGTCCTGCACATGTCTTGAAACCACCTGCCCATCTCGGAATACACCACGTGAGTGCAGTGTCCCTACCTCTTTCAAGATCTGCTCTGCACGCTCCAGACCTGAAAAGTAAACGAAAGAAACATTAAAAGATACCTTTAACAAAATTACTGAAACACTGTTGCTTAAATATGACAACCAAACACACAATGAAATGCTGTATTATACTCTTATCCTTGATTACATGCAAGATGCAATTTATGAATCCTCCTCAGACTTTGATAACATAGGAATGCTTTCTACAGCTTTTCAATAGTTTATTCCATAGGATATTGAGAAAAGGAAGGGTTACATGGAAGGCACTATTATGACATTGAAGAGTACTCGAAGGGCAGATTGTCTGAAATAAAAAGTCTATGTCAAGGATCATAAAGCCAGAAATAAGTAAATCCACAAACTGGTGAACACACATTTGTCCCAGGATTCAGGAGACTGGAATATGAAGAGAAAGGTAGTGTCCTCATTACACACTGAAGGTCAGTGATCAATCCCTAGCACAGGTGAAATGTTAAGCATGTTTCCTTAAAGCTGCTGCTCCTGTTCACCTGTTGTGGGTAGCATCCTGTGAGAGAAAATTAAAGGACTTCAGTAGAAATGAGACAAGGCAGTCCTGATAATGTACCAACTTTCTTGGGTCATCCTGGGTAGCTAACCCTCTGGGTTAAAAATTTTACCTTACCTAATGACAAAGAACAGGAGGGCTGAGGAAGATATGATTACAGGGTAAAGATAAAATGATCAGATAAATTGATAAGGGAGATACTTTGAACTGAAAGGGTCAGGGACAATAGGTCACAAATGGAAGCTAAAAATACACCCAAACTACAGGAACATCAAGAAATATTGCAGTCTCAGTAGCAAGATACTGAAATGGCTTGAATGAGAAGCCATAGCAAACTCTTCACAGTTTAAAGAGAATGCCCCAAAATGCTAGGAAGAAAAGGACATGCATTTTCACTACATCATTTGCTTATCATACAACTTCTCCCTAGCACACGTCAAACACTTCACTTCTGGAAGTGTAAATAATGTACTACATACGTATATTGTACATGTAAGTATGAAATTTGAGAATGCTAGACATATGAACACAGGGTATGAATACCCACTGTGCAACTCACTGATAGTGGAATTATACTATTAAGCCAGGGAATATAAGAAAGGCAATCAAAATACCTTTCATTACACTAGTTCTGATACAAAAGCGAGTATTAATAGAAGAAAAGCAATAAGCAAGTAAATCTTCCTAAAGGCTGAAGTCTAAATCAGGTAAATTCTATTATGAAATTTTAGCCTCATTATAAATGTATCACAAAGGAAATAATACACTAATCTTACAAAATTCTAGTGAGCATTTATTAATTTTTTAAACACTCACCCCTAACACCCATTACCCTTACACAATGCACGGGGCCAGGAGCTGTGACTTTACTCTTGCAACCACATTCAGGTAAGTTTACAAACACCACAAACAAGAGTGCTTAACTATGTACACATACCTAAATATGCTTAATGAAAAACCATTTTAAGTAATGTACAAACAATTCAAAACATACCTTAAAGTTTAAATATCTACTGTATGTGTTTAAACATTGAAACTACATACAGTACTGCATAAGTGAAAGTGATCACAGTAACACTGGTAATTGTGGAACTCTATTGTTCAATGCCATAATATTAAACATTTATGCTGTCATAATCTTGAAATAATCATGCTATTTTTCTTTTATCTTAAAATACAATGAACAGGTAAATTTAAATTAAAAAAAATAGACAATAAATGATAGCAAATATTAAAATATTATTACCTCCATAAAATTTGTATTGGTAACGATCAGTGTATCAAAATGAATTTCCTCTCAATTACAGGACATCTAAGTTTAAAATTCTTTAGAAAATTTTGATTTGGAGGAAAGGGTTAAAGATCAAAAGTTTAAAACTCCAAATACAGTACTACTTAATTTTTAATAAAATGCTTTAAAATCATACCTGTCAAGACTAAAATAATAAAATGCCAATGCAATAACCACTTGGTTACCTTAAACAGTATATATATGTAAATGAAATGAAAGCAGGTTCATAAAACAGTTTAAGTACAAAAAGTTGAACAAATCCTATATTAATAAAAAAAAACTGAAAATTTGCAAGCACTCACCAAGGAAATTGTCGACAACGCAGACTCCATATTTATTGAGGTCACTAATAACAGGCTGCATCACTTTAGAGAACCATTCTTGACTAATGACTCCATCCTCGAGTGACCAGGAATCTGGACACACTTCCACATGATCCAGTGAACTGGGCTTGGGGGGGAATAATTGTGCAGAGGTATCCAGTGTGTTGCCAGAGTCAATAGGAGTACTAAAGTCTGGTTCTGCAATTGATCTCCTCCTCGCACCTGCAACTGCACCAGTGCAACCCTGAAATTGCAGGTCATAATCACTCATAACAACATTATGGCCAGCTGTCACTGTATCTAATACCGATCTATCAAGTGAGAACACAGTCTCCTGTGCTTGTCTCTTTGTAGTTTTCCAGTTTTGCATAGCACAACCATGTCTTTCAACATTCATGACACCATTCTTGGGTTTACAGAATGGCTTGTGATGCTTCCAGTGTTGTCTCTGGTGATCAGTACTGCAATACCAAGCTGCTTTACACCTCCCACACACTTTCAACTGGTCATCCTGATAGCTGCACAGCCCACAGACCCTCAGATTCACCCCATAGCTCATTCTTCTAGCATAGACAAATCGCCTGTCTTTATCAGCTTCAAAACTGAAGTAGTCTCCTAGCACGGCACTCATTACAACCACAATTCTAGTGCAGTTCCTTCACTCCACAGAGTACTGTCATAATTTACAAACACGAAAGAATCTTTTTCCCCCCAAGTGCGGTATCTTCTTTATTATTGCACCATTACTGTTAAAGAACAATCGCCGCAATATCTTTTTTCTTATGTATCAGAGTTTGTCTCAGTTCATCACAAAAGCGAGGATTCTAACACTGGCCAGAGTACTGCCATATTACAATCGCCACAGTCTAACTCTTTTCCAGGTATCCGGGTCTCTCCTCCTCAGCCTGTAATAGTGAAGTCCAGCATAACAGCTACGAGCTAACAACCTCTTGGCTTGGCCTGCCATTCAGTTTGCTCCAGCTTCTACCCTCAAACTCGCTGACATCTACCCTCTACACATCAGGCGAGAGCCGAGAGCAACAAGCAACACACAAGAGAGCGAGGATAACGAGACAAGGTTGTGAGGGTAAGAGAGCAGGTCTGCGAATGGCACGACGGCTGAGACTCTCCCAAGGTAGTGCCTCTCGCACTCAGCTGTTGCCCCACTACCTGTGTTAACTCCCTCACCTTTTGATTATACATTCATTTATACATCTCTATAGCCCCTTCCAGTCACCATTCAAAATCACCATGGACAGCGAACGCTACTAAAGCACCCCATAATTTCATTCATTTTCTAAAACAATATATTACTCAAACAGTAAACTAATACTTATAAAAACGTCATGCGTGGCAACTCTACTAGGTTATCAGATATGCATTTAACATTATCCAAGGAGGAAAGTTTTTAACAATGGAAGAATATTATAATAAATATAACACATTTTATATTCCAGATTAGTTTATAGCTAGCTACAATAATTATCTTATTAACAATTCAAAACTGTTAAAAAAGTTACCAAAAGCAGCAGCTTAAGTCCAGCAGAGAATGACAACTCTTCGTGGGGGATATACAAGGTGATGCAAAATACAGGACCCGTCAGTATTATTTATTCATTCTGGTATATTTTCAAATTGAATATTCAGTCCTCATAGTTAACATCACGAAAAAAAAACCGCTTAGTATATTAATCCCGTGGACATATATATCTAAATACGCAAAGTATTTTAATCCTTAAATTTCTCAGTGATTTAAGTCGACTATTATTCTTATCATTATTCTCCAGGGCAAGGAGGGCAGAGGAAGCGTTCGAGCCATAGGGGTCAAACAGCACCTGGGGTAAAGAAGGCAACAGTTTTGATCCAAGGACGTATAACATAGGTTCAATTCCATGAATCAACAGCTCCTCACCGTCATGAGGCGCCTTCCTTAAGGGGGTTCAAGTATAATAAACAATGTAAGGAATACGGAAGCCTTATGACCCTGGCAGTCAATGCGTTATAAAACTTATATAATCTCTAAAATGGTGTCCACAAATTAAACTTGAGAAAAAAGCATGGATGTAGCACGCAAGATGATACGCTGCTCTGGTCTCAATCATGAAAAAAATATTCAGATTATTAACCCCGGAAGGCTAATAAACTAGGATAACTAACCCCAGAAGGCTAATAACCTAGGATAACTAACCTTTGAAGACTAATAACCTAGGATAACTAACCCTGGAAGACTAATAACCCAGTATAACTAACCCCGGAAGGTTAATAACTCAGGATAACTAACCCCGGAAGGCTAATAACCCAGTATAACTAACCCTGGAAGACTAATAACCCATAACTAACCCCGAAGGCTAATAACCCAGGATAAAGCAAGTAAGTGAACCAATGTGGTTTATTTCAAATGGATCTTCAGGGCCTCTCCAGGTAAAGATCCACAACATCTGACTAGCTCCAAGATATACTAGTTCCTGCTAGATGGCGGACTGTAGGTGTCAGGAGACTTGCCCGCATGATCCACAGTGCTTGGATTGTGAACTGAAAGCGCTACCTCTGAACTACAAGGTACTCCTTCATTCTGTCAATCAGGTAAGTAATGTTGGTGTCATGTCTAGTTACTTTACGGGTGACAGCAAAGATAACACACCCTAAATCTCAATTAAACAGTACTTAGTATTCCGACACAGCGCTGTACAATTAGCCGAGACTTGCTTTACTGAATATTTAATTAGACGTAAAAAACATCAATGCAGCAGGACAACCTAGTCATTGTGATAGTCTACAAGCCTCCGGATGCAACATCCCAGCAATTCCAGGAACAGCTGTTAAAAATTGACCACTGTCTGGAAAACCTTCCAGCTCCTGCACCCAACATCTTGCTCCTGGGGGATTTCAACTTAAGGCACCTAAAATGGAGGAATATAGCAAATAATATTGTTGCAGTAATAACACCAGGAGGCAGCTCTGATGAAAACTCACACTCACGCGAGCTTTTAAATCTCTGCACAAAATTCAATTTAAACCAGCAAATAATAGAGCCTACTAGACTGGAGAATACACTAGACCTCATCTTCACTAACAATGATGATCTGATAAGAAATATCACCATATCAAAAACAATATACTCAGATCACAACATAATTGAGGTTCAGTCATGTATGCGCGGAGCCCCAGACCGACATAATGAGATTAGTCACGAGGGAGCATTCACCAAATTCAACTTCAATAACAAAAACATAAAGTGGGACCAAGTAAACCAAGTCCTAACCGATATAAGCTGGGAAGATATACTAAGCAACACAGACCCCAACTTATGCCTAGAACAGATTAACTCGGTAGCACTCGATGTATGCACAAGGCTTATTCCTCTAAGAAAAAGGAGGAGTAGATGTAAAACAGAAAGAGACAGGCGCTCCCTTTACAGGCGACGGAAAAGAATAACAGAGCGGCTAAAAGAGGTCAATATATCTGAAATGCGTAGGGAGACACTTGTCAGAGAAATAGCAAGCATCGAACTTAAGCTAAAAGAATCCTTTAGGAGTCAGGAATCGCGGGAAGAACTAAAAGCCATAAATGAAATCGAAAGAAACCCAAAGTATTTCTTCTCCTATGCCAAATCAAAATCGAGAACAACGTCCAGTATTGGGCCCCTACTTAAACAAGATGGGTCCTACACAGATGACAACAAGGAAATGAGTGAGCTACTCAAGTTCCAATATGACTCAGTTTTTAGCAAGCCGCTAACCAGACTGAGAGTCGAAGATCAAAATGAATTTTTTATGAGAGAGCCACAAAATTTGATTAACAAAAGCCTATCCGATGTTATCCTGACGCCAAATGACTTCGAACAGGCGATAAATGACATGCCCATGCACTCTGCCCCAGGGCCAGACTCATGGAACTCTGTGTTCATCAAGAACTGCAAGAAGCCCCTATCACGAGCCTTTTCCATTCTATGGAGAGGGAGCATAGACACGGGGGTCGTCCCACAGTTACTAAAAACAACAGACATAGCCCCACTCCACAAAGGGGGCAGTAAAGCAACAGCAAAGAACTACAGACCAATAGCACTAACATCCCATATCATAAAAATCTTTGAAAGGGTCCTAAGAAGCAAGATCACCACGCATCTAGAAACCCATCAGTTACACAACCCAGGGCAACATGGGTTTAGAACAGGTCGCTCCTGTCTGTCTCAACTATTGGACCACTACGACAAGGTCCTAAATGCACTAGAAGACAAAAAGAATGCAGATGTAATATATACAGACTTTGCAAAAGCCTTCGACAAGTGTGACCATGGCGTAATAGCGCACAAAATGCGTGCTAAAGGAATAACAGGAAAAGTCGGTCGATGGATCTATAATTTCCTCACTAACAGAAAACAGAGAGTAGTCGTCAACAGAGTAAAGTCCGAGGCAGCTACGGTGAAAAGCTCTGTTCCACAAGGCACAGTACTCGCTCCCATCTTGTTCCTCATCCTTATATCCGACATAGACAAGGATGTCAGCCACAGCACCGTGTCTTCCTTTGCAGATGACACCCGAATCTGCATGACAGTGTCTTCCATTGCAGACACTGCAAAGCTCCAGGCAGACATCAACCAAATCTTTCAGTGGGCTGCAGAAAACAATATGAAGTTCAACGATGAGAAATTTCAATTACTCAGATATGGTAAACATGAGGAAATTAAATCTTCATCAGAGTACAAAACAAATTCTGGCCACAAAATAGAGCGAAACACCAACGTCAAAGACCTGGGAGTGATCATGTCGGAGGATCTCACCTTCAAGGACCATAACATTGTATCAATCGCATCTGCTAGAAAAATGACAGGATGGATAATGAGAACCTTCAAAACTAGGGAGGCCAAGCCCATGATGACACTCTTCAGGTCACTTGTTCTATCTAGGCTGGAATATTGCTGCACACTAACAGCACCTTTCAAGGCAGGTGAAATTGCCGACCTAGAAAATGTACAGAGAACTTTCACGGCGCGCATAACGGAGATAAAACACCTCAATTATTGGGAGCGCTTGAGGTTCCTAAACCTGTATTCCCTGGAACGCAGGAGGGAGAGATACATGATTATATACACCTGGAAAATCCTAGAGGGACTAGTACCGAACTTGCACACGAAAATCACCCACTACGAAAGCAAAAGACTTGGCAGACGATGCACCATCCCCCCAATGAAAAGCAGGGGTGTCACTAGCACGTTAAGAGACCATACAATAAGTGTCAGGGGCCCGAGACTGTTCAACTGCCTCCCAGCACACATAAGGGGGATTACCAACAGACCCCTGGCAGTCTTCAAGCTGGCACTGGACAAGCACCTAAAGTCAGTTCCGGATCAGCCGGGCTGTGGCTCGTATGTTGGTTTGCGTGCAGCCAGCAGCAACAGCCTGGTTGATCAGGCTCTGATCCACCAGGAGGCCTGGTCTCAGACCGGGCCGCGGGGGCGTTGACCCCCGGAACTCTCTCCAGGTAAACTCCAGGTAAACTACAAGTGCTGAATCAACTGAGTTGTGATGGCTGCAGGTCCTAGCACAGCCCAGTTGACCAGGAAATCAGCAGGTTAAGTTAAGTTTAATATGTTTATTATGCACCCCATACCCAGCCTGTGGGCGGTAGTCAAAAGATTACAGAGGTACATAATGGGTCCAGGGACTGGGCCTACTTGTAACCCAGCCGGAGCCGGGCAGTAGTGACATCCAAGAGTCTGCTTATTTTGTTGGATGCACCATAGACATGTGGCTCCTCCTGCATGATAGAATGATGATAGATGGACTCACTGGTGTCAATCTCCCTGAGCCTTAAGTCCATAAAATTCAGTTGAAGTTCTTTTCGTATTATTGTTCTCAAACTACTACCTGACAAGCCAAGATTGTAATCTACTCCCTCTTTGAAAGCATACAGCTTAGCCAATTTATCAGTTCTATCATGCATCTGAAGACCAATGTGAGATGGAATCCACAGCATGTGCACTCTGACTCCACTGTCCACAATCCTACCATACCTGTGTCTGGCTTCTGACACAAGCATGCCACAATTTATGCTTAATGAGTTGAGAGCATTTATGGATGACAGAGAATCAGTTACAATTAAACTGTCAATCTTTGATACATAGATGCATTTCAGTGCAAGGAGTATGACAAACAGTTCTGTCTGAAGGGTAGAGGCCCAATTATCAGCAGGGAAGCCTGGATTTAGTTACGTAGATAGAAGAGCCCTTGAAACCGGTCAAAGGTAGATCACAGGTAAAGCCTTAAAGCTGCCTTCGACACAGCAGTTTTACCCTGGAGCAACTGACCATCTTCGATGTTAAAGTCAAACTCAAGACATAGATTAGCAAATATCTCGGTAATATAACTGGCTCTGTTAATGCTAAAGAACTCAAAAGTACCACAATGCTTCTTTTCAGTTAGGTACGCTAATGGGTAGAGTAGAAGAAAAATACTTCATTCGAATTATTAACCTAAAGGACCCCAATGGAAATAAGTCACTCTGTCTGACTTTTTTGGGTTATCCTAGGTTCTCTACACATATGCTGCTATGTATGATAATTCTATGTAACTGTATTTGTGTATACCTGAATAAACTTACTTACTAACCTTGGAAGATTAATAACGCACGATAGCTCAAGAAAGTCAGGCAATGTGGCTTCGTTCATTGTGTGGGGCTTACTATTTCCATTGGGATCCTTACGTCCTTCCAAAGGACACATCCATAATAGTCGACTAACTCTTAGGCATTAAATTAAGCAACTAATCAACATTAAACTAAACTTGTTTAATTAACATAGCTGTTCTGCGTCTGGCAACACCCCCCCCCCCTACAAAAAAAAGGAAAATTTTGTGACGCTAACAAACCGACAATAGGAAACGTGTAATATCCATTAAAAATGATCTAAATGAGTGACGAAGCAAAGGCCTTCGAATTTTCTTGATTTTCGTAACATTATATATTGGCATTGCAATCACGATGACACTCACCAGGAAGTTAGATCTCTGCATGTGGCAGGCAGGGGGCAAAAATTAAGACAGTTCACAACTTTAAAACCATATACGATACAGATAGATCACATCAGCTAACAAAAAGATCAGAGGTGAGCCCAAGAGCTTAAGCTCAACACCAGCAAACTTGGCCAATTAATAACATGCATACTGGAGGCCTTCAGAAATCTAGATAAACAAATTCAATTTTTTTTTTTAAAGACGTACTTTACAGCATTAACTTCAAAACGCCTCCAGACTGTTGCTAGAACTATGGTGAAGCAGGAAATGTAAGAAAAGACTGGACGAGGCAAATAAGCTGGTTGTCTTCAAGAGGGAGCTGGACAGATACCTAAAGTCGGTGCCGAATCAGCCGGGCTGTGGTTCGTGCGTTGTACTATGTGCGGCCAGCAGTAACAGCCTCGTTGATCCGGCCCTGATCCACCAGAAGGTCTGGTCATGGACCGGGCCGCGGGGGCGTTGATCTCCAGAATACCCTCCAGGTAGACTACATGGACGAACGCAAAGCAAAAGGGGCCAGGATCGCAACATACAAAATACTCTATAGCACAGACAGGGTAGAAAAGACACTTG